CCCCCCACACCCCCCAGAAGAGCAAATGCTCCTCAGAGCAAAATCGTCTTCGCTCCGCTGGGGCCCGATCCCGGCTCGCGCCCGGTCCCCAGCCCCGCTGTGGTGAGCGGGGTGCGGGGTCACCCCCTGCGGGCACCGGGCATGGCGCAGCCTTCGGAACGGGCTCGCCTTCGCCTCGGATGGGGTCAGGAGTTTCCAAGGGCCCGGAGTTCACGTTGTCGGAGCTCCGCCGCTGCCACGGGCAGGGGACGCGTCCTCGAGTCGCGCTTGGCTCGGTGACGGGGACTGGAGGGGTGCACGGCCTCTGGCTCTTGGACGCTTCTGTCTCCCTGAGCCCTGGTCACGCTGCACGGAGGTGCGAAGGCCCTCGGCGGCTCTCAGACCGCGGCGGCGGCACCTCTCGGAGCGCGTCACGAGCAGCAGCACCTCATGGCTCACGCCACGGTGGGGCTTTCTGCAGGCGTGTGGGCATGGCGGAATGTTCTCTGCCATGGGGATTAAAGATTCCCTCTACTCCACAACAGAAGCTTTCAAAGCCTCCCCCAGCTGATTGATGAGTTTGCATGTTGATATGATATTCAGCGTGTGAATTAAAATGAAAAATTCTGTTAAAAACTGGGTGTGTTTGGGACTGCCTAGCCAGAGGTGTTTTCTTTACTAAGTGGACAGGTTGGAAAGCAGCTGGTGAAAAGAGATTCATTCCTAGCAGATCTGAACCCCGCGTCTTCCGGACACGAGACCCCTGTTCGCTACCCACAGGCTACAGTTGCCAAAATGTTTGCGTGTGTCTACAAGCAGGGAATCGGGATTTGCAGTTTGTGCTGCTGTAATTCTCTGCCATAGAATGCATTTCTTCTGGACAAGTGGAGGCTGCAGGTGTTCAGTGTAGTGTTTTAAGTAGAAATAGGGAATGTTATTCCTCTTTGTGTTTAGCATTTCTACACAGCGATGGCCACGTTAACTCTTGACGGACACTCACAGAACTCAGCGGGGAAGTTTTACCTGGTGCCAGAGTGATGTTGCTCTGGAGGAGAGTGAAGCGCCTCGGCAGCGCGTGCTGCTGCCCCGCTCGCTGCCTGCCTGAGGTCAGCGCTTGAAGGCCGGCAGGAGGGGAAATGTCTTGGGAATTTAACACAGCTCCCTGCGTCCGCCCACTTGTTCTGAGCAGTTTTCCAAGATTAACTCATCTGTTCACACGTGAAAGGACACTGGTCAGGATTTAAATGGAGCTTTGGCCCGTGAACGCACTGAGCCTTTAGGAAAACGCACTGAGCTGCGGTACCTAGCTCTAACTGCTGGGGGGCTGCGTCTAGTCCTGCTCCTGCTGCCGTCGGCAGCGCCCCGGCTGCTGTCTCTGCTTCTGACGGGCAGCGAGGAAATGTTCCACCGAGTGTATGCAAAAAAAAGTAACAGAAGAGATTGATTCCTTAAGCAGCACATTGAACAGCTCCAGTTTCCTGGTTGCACGTACTGTATCTTGTTCACCTCGCTGCCCTGCACACGAGTGCTTGTCCTTCGGGGGCCCAAGAGCCATCGTGCTCTCCCTGCGATGCTCTCAGTACTCTGTGCTCCACAGCAAAAGCCTGACAGAAGATCATTTTTTTTAGTGGTGATCTAATGTTAATCTTCTGGTCATTGCTTCAGCTTGGGAATGCAAGAAGGGGAAGAGAGTGACAGAGGGAATCGCTGGAGATTTTAAAGGCAACTGATTGTTTTAATCTGTGCAAACAAACATTCAGAAATGAGTCAGCTCTGGCTGGTTACCTGGAAAAAGCTTTATATAAAGCAGCACTTCACTGTCTGATGTTTTGCTGGTCCTTAGTACCCTCTGAATGTCGGTGCTTGAGCCTGAGAAAAGCTGTTTATCTAACTCTTGAGGAGAGAGGGTCTAAGGGGATGAAGGGAAACTGGGACTTCAGTGGAGTACTGACTTGCCATCAGGGTTATACAGGCTGGAATACTGACGCTATTCTGCTGCTGTGTTACAAATACCCAAACATTGAGATCAGCAGCAACCAGCCCCTGATGGCATCAAGAGGCAGGTCTACAACGTGAAGAATCCGGTGTGCCAGAGGCCTCCAGAACTGCTCCGGACCCCTGAACGGCTCCCGGTACCCGGAGCCCGCTTGGGATGGAGACCACGATTTTGGCAAGCAGAAAGCTGCCCCCCAAAGCCTGCCTGCCCTGTGCCCGCCACGGCAGGAGCTGTGCTACCATCAAGGTCTGTTTGGTTTTGCCTCTCACGTGGCTGCAAGCAGAGTAGGAGATGTGGCCCCTCTCGTCTTGTTTTACTGTTTATCCTCTGCAGTGATTTTTGCTGTGTCCATGTCTCCTTTGCACTGGTACTTTGGAAACCCTGTGTTATCTCATAAGACAGAATCACAGAGAATTCAGAACTGGAAATTCCATTTATCCTGTCTTTTCTGTATTCCATTTGGTGTATCTGCAGTTCATGCCATTTTCATACTGGTGGCTGATCATGGCCCATGTTCTCATGGAGGAACAGGCCAGGACACGTGACGCTGCTCTACGTCTGGCTGTTGTGTTAAACGGGATACACAGGATCCTGCAGCAAGTGTCTCAGGCCGCGCAATCTCTGCAGAGGGGCAGGAGGAGAACATACGGATTCTGGTCAGTGCCAGAAGCTGTGAATGTGCTATTGAGCTATGAGAGGCTTGGCTAGATGATAGTACGGGAGGAATGGGGTCTGAGCAGACAGCTATTGCATCTGAAGACCAAAGAGGGTGGTGGTGTAAGGGACTCCTTCCCGCAGTGGGTGAGTACTGAAGGTGAGTTTGGATGGATGATTGGTGCCGCACATGCGTGGGAGGATCAAGTGTGCAGTGCCCGTCTAACCACGAGGGAGGCTTCGGGAACAGGCCGAGCGCTGGCTGGGACTCCTCCCTGCGGCAGGACGGTGACCGCTCTGGTCTGTGGGAACACTTCCTGAGTGGAGGCAGAGTTCGCCGATGCACTTGCCAAGCTGGCAGACAAGGCCCTTCCTCACCGCCCCTGTGTGGCGTTAAGGGCTCTCCCTGCTGCGTTTCTGCCTGGACGCTGTCAGTGGCCACCTGAAGAATTTGAGGTCGTC